AAAAAAAAAAAAAAAAAAAAAAAAAGAAGCCGGTTTTCGAGGTTCCTGGGTTTCCTAACTTGACTCCCGCTTCACTCCTTCCCCAACACAAAGGCCGGCAAGCCGGGGCGGCAAGGGTCGGGCACCGGTCTCGGGGATGCATTTGGCGGCCGCGTCCCCGGCTGCCGGGCCGGAGGAGCCGCGCGGACGCCCGCGCCGCCAACGCCCTCCCGGCGCGCCCTGCCGGCCGGCGCGGGGCCGCGTCTGCTCCGCCCAGGTCAGGCCCGCCGACACCCGGCCGCCCCTCGGGGCCTCGGGCCCAGGTCCGGCCCGGCCGCCCCTCGGTCCCCGGCGCAGCCCGGGCTGCGTCGGCCTCCCCAGCGGGCTTCTCGATACTCACCGGCCGGCAAGGCTGGAGCGCGGCCCAGGCCCTGGCTGCCGTGGCCGCCGCCCCTCCCGGCTGCTCGGCGCTGTCTCAGCCGCTCCGCGCCCCCACCCCAGTGCGGCCCGCCGCCTCCTGCCGGTCGGCCTCGCCGGGCCGCCGCCGTTTCCCTTCTCCTCCTCCTCCTCCAGCTCCTCGGCCTCCTCCCCAGGCGGCCGCCCCCCTCGCGCGCCCCGCCCCACTCTGCCCCTCCCACCAGGCCCGGCCTGGCCTGGCCTGGCCTGGCCTAGGCGGCGGCGGCGGGGACGCGCACGTTGAGCCCGGCGGGGACGCGCACGCCGCCCATTGCCCCTCGGAGGGGCGTGGCGGAGAGCCGGTCCTGGAGAACCTGGGTCTCCACACGTCTCGCGTGGTGTTTCCCATTGGGCCCCACGTCGCTCCTCGTCGGCAGTGGCACCAAATCCTGTTCGATCTTAGAATCTGTATTCCTGGAAGGAATCCTACGCCCGTGGTTTTGGGATTGAGGCCACAGGCCCAAGCCCTGTGACTTGTTTACTTCCTAAAGTAGAAGCAGCCCCGATCCCTTAAGTCTCGGTTGCAGCGTTTTTCCCGTTAGGTCACATGTGGGAAGACCCGGGGCAGCTCTCGCTGAATCTTTTGATCGCCGCCACAGGCCTACGTGCCTGCCTGGACCCTTGTAGCGTTCTACCTCCGCCAAGACTGTGCCCTCAGCGTCCCCAAGGTTTTCTGGAGCGTGGGGGTAGCGGGTGGGGGGCGATCACCAAGATCTGCCTCTGCTTCTGCGAGAAACAGGCATTCTGCACACAGACCACAGCAGCGAGGTTGTCTACCTGTGAGAGACGTCGCAGTGTAGGGGGAAAGGTGGCTCGAAGCTGCTTCTGCTGGATACTTTTCAAATGACTGAGGAGTGAAGAAATAACACATGGCCGTATCAAAGAATTGGGGTCCATTACCCTGTGACTACCACCAAGCCTTGGTCTAATACGGGGACAGTGATTCAGAGTACTGAGTGGACCTACCCCAGGTCCAACCGTGGACTCCTGCACAGTCCTAGTGCAAGAGAGCTGTGATAAAGAGAGGATGGCTGTAGCCCCCTCTTTGTGGATGTGGGTAGAGACAGGAAAAGTGTTTCCTTTTTGTGGCTATGTTTTTACCCCCAAGTGGTGTGTCTCAGAAAAGATAGGTCGGTCGCATATCATTTGCCATCCTGCAGAGAAGTGACTCTCAGACTTTAAGAGTCTCAAGACTAGTTTAAAAAAAAGAGAAAAAACCTGAAGAAGGAACTTAGATTCTTAGCTTTGCTAAGAAAGACAGTAAAAATCGAATCATACCACTCGTATTAGTGCTTCGTTTCAGAAGTGAAAGGATGTTTTTTTTTTTTTTTTTTTTTTTTGTGAGGGCATCTCTCATATTTATTGATTAAATGGTT